GGTTGGGCTCTGGCGGAGGTACTGCAAGTTGTGCCAGGGAACGGGGGAAATGGGATAGTAACTCTGGAAACCTCGCTGATACGAGCAGCGAGCGAGTTCCAAGCACCTGCGGGTTGTACCCTTTGAACAGTACTTTAGTGCTAGTTGGATACGGGCCTTTGCGTGCTTTTGGTACGCGAGAGACGATGGGGAGCGGACGGATACAGGCGTGTCAGGACAGTAACGCGGCCGCCGTTGCTCATCATCTGCTGAAGGAGGATCAGGCATTGCCTGTCACACACACACACACACACACACACACACACACAGATGGGTCCAGGCTGTCAAAACTTAGCTTGAGAGGTCCTTACTATGCACAGAGCCTCAGCTACAGCAAGGTAGGCAGGAGCTCCTAGTGTAAAGGTGCTGCGAAATAAATCCATTTTTTCCTTTTGGGTTAGTTGCTTTATGAAACAACATAAGCAAAACTGTAACAGTGTCTTTTCTGAACTGCCCCGAGTTGTTGCTATGGTGGTGTGAGGAGTTGTCTACCTGTGATTCCAGAACTAACCAGGGTAACACACTAGGGTAAGCTTACTTAATAGTTAGGTTAACTCATTAGGAAACAACCTACGTTTTCCTTTCAAACGTCTGACTGCCACCATAAGAATGATTATACTTGCAGGTTTTGTCGATGTTGTATTGCTCGATACATTAATGATTTTAAATTTCTGTTGTTTGCTTCTTTTTTTTAATTGGAAGGTACAAGCAGAGGAGGAGGTGGAGGAGGATGGGGTAGCACTAACCAGAGATACACTAATGTTATCCAGCCATCTACCTTTAAGTCTAATGTGTGGGGTGGCAGCAGAGATTACGGAAAAGGACTTTTCGTCTCCTCTGGCTTTGGATCATCAGGTGGCAGCAGCGGAAATGGAGACTTTTCACAGAACAGATTTGCTGTATTAGTGAACAGTCAAAACGTTGGTGATGGCTACAAAGATGAAGAGGAGAGACTTCTGTAAGTTATAGTCCTGTATTACTGAAAACATTTAGAATGAGCAGTTTAAAAGCTTACTGACTTACTAGAAATAATGTAGAGGACACGACTGTGAGGAAGAAACTGGGATGTGTAAAAAGAACCGTAGAAAACACTGCTCCATTTGGTTCTCTTAAGTTATGCTGGCATGGGAAGAAAGAGGTCCTTGTTTTGAACCTGGATTGGGCAGCTAGACAACTGTTTATTAGTAAGGTGGCATGGTATTTAAGTTGTGGGCAGGAAGATAAGGAAGGAAACAAAGATGTCACTACTTAAAAAGAAGGGGTCAGAGCCTCTTGGACAGCATTTCAACCATTAAAAAACCAAAACAACTCTTTGAGAAAATGAACTATTTGACTTAGTTTTCCTGACACTTAGGATAACAGATTGTTCTGCCAGTGGTAAAACTATTGAAACCTGGTTTCACATGCGTGTATGTTAGAGTCAGGTAGAAGTGACTGGCAGGTTCAAAGTGATTACAGGGCAGGTGATGAGAAGGAACCGGCAGTGTTGCTGATTTCCTGAAGAAGCAAGGTTTTGGAGCCACTTTCCATTGTTTTTTAAGATACATGAAGAAAATACTTAGCAGATTATTTATTCAGCTTCTCAAACATGAATGTGTGTTGTGTTACAAACATCTGAAATACTTAGAATCTTTGTTTGTTGCTGTGTAGTGATCTGCTTGTCCATTTCAGTTTTTTAACCATTTGTTTTTCATTGTTTGTTTACATTTGGATTTACTTCTGTTGATGTAGCCTCTATTTTTGTGCTTTTGCAATGTCTGGATTATTACACTTTTGATTCTTTTCCAAAACTTGTACAGAACACATCACTTTCTCCTTTTTTTTTTCCCCCTGAACTTTGCTATTTGATACTGTGCACATTCATCTATATTGTAAGATCAACCAGTATTGAGAAGGTTTTAAATTGTATTGTGATCTAAAGCTTCAGGGAAATTCCGTGGCAGCATATGCCATACAAGAACTAAAAATACATTGTCTGTTAGGGATTTTTTTTTTTTTATTATGAAGATCCTGTTTGGTTTACTTGCAGTCAGATGATAAAGAAAATGCTTTGTAGGGACATTTACGTATCTTGCCACATAAGTGCATTTTTTTTCTACAGACAACTGAGTACTTCTCTTGTTCATTGCAACTAGTGTCTTACTTCATTAGTTTTTATGGTAGCAGGTATTTGAATCTGACTTTGGATTTAATCCAGGCAGTTGCTTCTGGTGGTATCGTTTTGACCATATATTTTTACCTTCATCTGTGTTTTTATTTCTTTTGGGTTTCTAGTGAATGTGTAGTGAAAGACATGGAAATTTGGGAATCTTCAGGACAATGGATATTTTCATCTTATTCACCGGTGAAAGAAAAGTTGAATGTCTCAGGTAGGTAATGTTTTAAGTATTGCCATGTGTTGCTGCTGTTCAGGATGTTTCTTACACTAGTCCATGCTGTTGTATCTCTGGAGAACCATTTGCAAGGTTTGGACATTCACATCTTTGAAGTTCTGTAATGCATCCTTTTTGTGTCTCCAGCTGTGACTGACTTATTATGGACTATGTACTATGGCCCATTTCTTTGTACCTATTGAGGGCAGTTGGAACTATTAACATATTTTGTTGGAGAGGTTTTTGATTATCCTTTTCTTACAGGCTTTCGAGATTTCTCACCAGAAGAGTTGCATCTGGAGTATTATAACTGCAGAGCAAACAATAACATTCAGAACTATGTAAGTATGTTAAAAATGCTTACTTCTGTGGACACATTTTGGGGTAGGATTTGTTACTATTCTTCAGGTGGTAACTTTTGGCTCAATTACTCCAGCAGATTATCAGAATGCCAAAATGTTTTTAAATTACAGAGCGCCAAATACAATGCAAAAATAGCTGCTAGTCTGTATCCACAGCCATAACTTCCTATTTCTGTCTGAGATCACAGGCTCAAACTGTCAGATCTGAGCTTCTAAAACTGGTGGCCTAGTGTCTTGACACATCAGCTCCTACAAGAAATGGTGGCAATAGACTTCTAGCTAGTTTCAGATAAATGTATGGTCTTTTCTTAATCTAGACATTCCTTGACTTAGCCTTGTCCCTGCTCTTGTGTGTTATTTGTAGAAGTTATTTGCATCCTGTCTCAGAAGTTTAATACTTTATATGCTATTATTAGTTTGGTTGTTATAGCTGGTTATATAGGGCTGTAGGTAGAACACAGGAAAGTTTATTTGATCTTGTTCTTTTACATATCTCTGTTGCAGGAGATTAATGCTGAAAATATCAGATACTTCTAAAGGAGTATATACATTTCTAGAAAAGAAGTAATACTATGTTTTTATATAAACGTATTTAAATTTTTATATATTGTTCCTCACCCATAGTCCCATCAATATCAAGGAAGCTAGCAGAGTTTAATGTTGTGCCAGGAAAGGAATTGGGCTACTGGATAGATGAAAGTACAAACTTCTTTCCTCTCCTCCTTGGTTCTGTATCACAGAAGGAATTGCTGTTGTCACCACTGTGGCATCATGTGTTTAGAATTACCAAAATTGCATTTTCAGAGACAGGAGATAAAGCTAAAAAAAAAAACCAAACCCCAACAACAAACCTTCAATTCAAATGAACTGCAGTGATTAAACAGTACACTCTGCCTGGCTGTTAAAAACAAAAAGTAGAAATCTGTGGTCTCATTGAAGCACTAAGTGCAAGTTCTTGGAAGTCTCAGTGTGTAGTTGACAACTGTTTGATACAGTTCTCTTTCTTACAAAATGTTTTAAGTACAACATGTCTTTTCCAAAGCATGTTTCTATTCTTAAGCTGGGTCAAAATCTGAATTTTCCAGTCTGTTGTGCAAGAGCTGATACCAAGCAACGTGATCTTCCAGCATGTGACTAGACACAAAAGAATTATTGATGTTTGTGATGTTTTGGAAGATTAAGGAATTTATTTACCCAAAGATAACTTATTCCGCTCTTACAGGCATTTAGGACACTATATGTTTTATTGTTTATTTTTCTAAGGAAAATTCGTTTAGGCCAAGCTTTGAATAAGGTGTGTTGGTAAACTTAAATGTAGGAAATTCAGGTTTGAAATTCCTGGAAAGTTATTTTAAAGACATTCCAGTTTCTTGTTTAATACCTTCATCATATCACCAAAACACAGGCAGTAGTTACTGCTAGCATATGTTCTGTGCAGTAGTCAGTTGGATCATGTGAAATGGGCTGATTTAAGTTAAGGACTTTAACTTCTGCAAAGCTGAATATTTTGGGCTGGTACTATTAAAGTGTTTGAATTATAATATTGTGAAAGTGAGTGGGGGATTTTCTGAAAATGTAGAAGAAGCTAAAGAAAATTTTAGGACTTCAGCTTAATGAACACATAAGTGGACAGGCCAGAAATAAAGCAAGGGTTGAAAAGTTTCTTCTCATATACTTCCAGCTTACATATTTAATGTGTGGTTTGTTGGGATTTTTTCCCCAAGCAACTAATGGAGCTAGTGATAGAACTTAGATTTAGAAAGCCCCAGGACACCTTTTTTTAATCATACTGTTATGTAAAGTAAAAAAAGTTGTTTTAAGTGCAATAGTAAGAGAATTTAAAGAAATTCTTTGTTAATAACAAATATTTCAGCTCCTCACCTTGAAGTTTCAGGAAAGCAAAAATCTTGTCTTCTTGGCTTAACGAAATTTCCTTTCTAATTCTAGAAATTTTCTTTCAGTTCACTTGCCAGATCACTCTTATTTTCTTTTGTATTAAGTCTTCACCAATAATAAAAACATGCTTTTCTTTCCCCCCTTTTTAGATAAATTCTGTCCAACAGTTAGCAGAACAATGGAAAACTCGGCTGCATCAGTTAAAAGTTTTAAATGCATCAACAAAAGCAGCCTTGGTAAGTCTTAATGAAAGGTAAAATATTTCTGTTCCTGATGTCATCTTTTTATTAATTTTGGGCAAATGTGGGGTTTTTTAGATTCATGGTTTTTTGGACACATCCTACTAAACTGTCATGCAAATTAATATTTGCAGTTTAATTTCTGTTAAAAAGATTTCTAAGACATGGTAGTTGGAATATGCCACTTTGTTTTTAATGAAGAAATCCTGCAAATATTCCATAGAATCAAAGTGTTTAACTATGCTTCTACTATCTTTATATAAATAGGTAATAAGTATTACTTTGAAGATTGCAGGATACTATTTTACAACCACATATACATGATTCTTCTAGGTCATCCTTGTTTGCACCTAAATAGCTGAGGCATGACAGTGTCTGATTCCTACATTCACTGGCAATTTTATGGTAGATCTGTAAACTGCTCTGAAAATGTCAGCTGTGTTATATTCTGGCACTGCAGCCTTGAGAAACACTTGGCATGAAAGTGTTTGGCTGGCTGGTGGCATGAAGACCTTGACAGTAATCTTAGAGCACTCCTGGGAACATTAGAGAAGGTGGAAAGGGTGTAAGGAGGAATTGCAGAAGAGAATAATAATTGCAGTTTGAAAACTGCCCCATCTGTCCATCTGTGTGATTTTATAGGCATCTGTGTGAATATTCTAGCACTGCCTGAGCCAGGTGAACGTGAAAGTCTGTGAATACAGTTTTGGGTCTCAACTCTACCTTTCTCTGGAATTATGAAATGGGTGAATTTCAGACAGGTATTGTAAAATTCTTTAGTTAACTAGGGAAAATGGTGACTCAGGATGGTTACATATTAGCAAGGCAGCAGCTACATCCCCAGGTTTGAAATACTGTCATTGCAAGCCATGTGAAAGCAACCATAGCCTAAGGTTGGGATCTGATCATGTAGATGTACAGTAAGAGGCTAATATGCACCCTGCCATTTTTAACATGTGCTGATGTTGACTATTCTAAGGTATAACAAGCAGACCAGACCAGAATAGTCCTCCAGGCCATCTTAGGACAAACAGAGCATTTTGGTAATGCCAGAATGGGAAATTGGTAAGACAGGTGGGAGAGAAACTGGGTAAAATTTGGAGATACAAAGAGTCACTGGTCCTGAGAAGGTGGCACACTCTCATGAATCTAGATGTGTCAGAAGAGAATGCTTGAGTTAAAGCCAGTCTTAAATATCCAAGGAGACAGAGTAAGTTGATTTAAGTGGAATATGCAGGATGTGCTTGAAGGTTTCAGTAGTACGATCATACCTCCTTGGTATTTTCAATGCTAAAGGTGAAGCAGCAAGTTGAGGAAACAGGGTAAGTCAAAGCAATGACATAGGGTCATCAAGCACTCAGTGAAATACGTAAAAGATGGGAACAAGAGCTCAAAGAGGTATTCAGGTCACTGTCTGACACACACACAAAAAAATCTATAAACTGTAATATGTTTGTGTTTCTGGAGTGTTTTACAGAGAATACTGTACAGCCCCAAAGCATTTTGTTGATAGCTGCAAGAGCATGCCATTGTGATGGAAGTCTTCAGTGTCTAACTTAGACTAAGTTGTATTAAATTGGACTAGGCAGCCATATTTTTGCTTCAGGTATTCATTGAAAGACATTTTCCTGTTTTGGAATCTTATTTTCATTTGTGCATTTGTAATTTTGTTAGCTCTCCGAACTAAAGAACACAGTCACTCAATCATTGCCTGCCTTTGGATTTGGAGGACAGCAGTCATTGAACTTTGGGTTGTCAAGTAAGTCCCTGCATTAAGAACTATCAGTTAAACATTTTCTTGAGTTCTTCTGCATTATCGAAATACAGCAGTGGTTAGTACCACAGATGTGCCCATTCTAACATTTTTTGGTATCAATTTTATAATTGCAGGTTTTCCAGTGATCAGCAGCAGTAGCAGTGTTAGCAGTTTCTCCTTTAAAACAAGTTCCAGTCATGTCAATGCATCGTCTGGAAACACCCCTGCTTTTGGGAGCCCTTCTGCTGGTTGTAATCCTCCTGCATTTGGTGCGACGTCCTCTCTTAGCGTATCCCAGTCTGTTGGTTTTGGCAGCCCAGCAGCTCCATCTGCAGCCTCCTTCTCATTTAAAACTTCTGAAACAAGTGGTGGTTTTGGAACTTCTGGGTTTTCAGGGTTTGGCACTACTTCTGCTGTGAACTCTTCAAACATCACTCCACTTAAAGTCTTTGGAGATTTTAGTGCGGCAGTAGCAACTTCTCCGTCACATTCAGGCAGTACTCTATTTGGACAGACTGCCAGTGCCTCTGGACAGACCTTAGTGTCAGCGCCTTCTGCAGTCACAAACAATACTGCATCAGAAAAGTTATTTACACCAAAGAGCGAACTGTCAGCAGAAGACTTGAAACAATTTGAAGCAAAAAAGTTTACAATTGGAAAGATTCCTCTTAAGCCACCACCATTAGAACTCTTAAATATTTAGGACTTACAAGTTTAATCTGAAATTACATGGTTTTGTAACTTCTCTGATACCTCACTAGACTGTTTTGTGATTGAGTAATGAAATAGAGTAAACCCAAATGTAAACAAACTTGAGTTAATTTTTGTTTCTTCTGCAATGATAAACTCAGAGGTATAATCATTTGAACACTTTATTTTATAGTTTCTTGGTTATTTTGAAATGTACCTTTTACATCCCAAGAAATGAATTAATGAACATTTTAAGTTCCCTTTTCTATTTTGTACTGTGAAATTCTGGTCAAAAACAATGATAAGAAGGCTTTGTCAAAAGTAAGAGTGTTTTGCTGAGGTACTCACAGCCTACTGTGAATAGAATGCTAGAAAGAAACAGCTGCACTGCAAGACTGGTTGTTGTTGGACCACCTTGTCATTTGCCTCTTTCTTGGTGCAGCTTTTGACAACTGTGTTTGAAAAGGGGGCTCCTATGTGGTTTTTACCCAGCTACATCTTCCTATCACCCAGGAGTCAGTTACCTGTCCCAGCTGATCCAGTTCAGCTAGTGTTAGCTGTCCTGCTTCAGGTCATAATGCACACTTGGGGGAGAACAGTCTCGAAAGCATTCATCATGAATAAGGAGCTTGTGGTTTGCTGTTTTGCCACCTCTTTGATCAAACTTTGCAAGCAATTGCAAACTTATGCACTACATCTATGTGAATTGAGAGCCAGACAACAAACCTCTGTCAAAATTGATGAGTGCATATATTGGCAGTACCTTTTCTGAATTAATTATATTAACGATACTTTGCCTAGATGCTAAAAAGCAGGACTCAGAAATTCTCTACAGGAGGTAGAGAGTCAGGTGAAGAGAACATTTGTTCTTGGCCAGGCCCTCCCATTAGTGGTTTAAAATTACTAAACCTCAAGAGGAAAGCAAAAGTTTACCCCAGGATATACATAAATAAATTGATTGTCCCTTTAACACTTGACAATAACATTTCAGTTCTTACTATGGACCCTGTGGTCCTACTTAAAACTCTGCTATAGCTGTGCTTCCTACCAAAGGTCCATAGCATACTGGCCTGCTAAAACAGTGTGAATGAATTTAACTTTTAGGGTGATAGGCCATGGGTGCGCACTGCCGACATCGTAGAAATCCAGGTGCCTTGGTCCACATGCTCAGTGTAGATGTTATGTTATAGTACTGAGTTTATATGGATTTTTCTGGCAATTGTTTTGTACATGAAATAAAGTATCTGGTTTTTATTATTGTTGTTAATGACCCAGGGCAGGCTTCCTGCAGCTCACAAACAAAATACTGATGCACTGGCCCAGAGTTCCATTTAATTCTTATGAAATGTGTTTCCAAGTGGGATCTCCAGAGCAGTACTAAGACTCGTACAAACTAATACATGTACATGTGCCAGGGCTCACTTAGCTTACTTGGATTTTGACACAGGAACTGAGGAACATCCCAAAATCGGTATTTTCAGAAATCCCCCATCCTTACAGAAATTGTTAAACTCACCTTTGTAAACATTTATTGTCTAACAACCATCAAAAATGTTTGTGGCGTGTCAGATGAATCCCATAACTGCATGGACTCATCCTATTACATGCTATACACTTTTCCCCATTTCATTCATGAAGCCTTAGTGATTTCGAATCCAATTGTACTAGAAAGATACCATGTTTTTTTAAAAGTTCCCATAATTTCTATTACTGCTAAAGCAGCATTCTAACATGGCACGAGTATATTTTAGGGCAAAAGTACAGAATTAAGCATTGCTGATAACCTTAAGAATCCCATGGTATGTTTTAGAGTGCTGTGGATGGTTTTGCCTTACATGTAAAGTAACAATAATTTTGCAATCACCTGTGCTGTTTTCTCCTAATCTTTTTTTTCCTAATGCTCAATCTCTAAAATTACTACTTTAAGAAACAAAAAAGAGAGGAACAATCTAAGTCACAGTTAAGGACAGACTGCCTCTGGTGAATGCCCAAGCTAAGCTGAAGTGTCTTTATGCATAAGGCCACTGCAAGATTTTAGAGCTTCTGTACCTCAGTGCTGCAGCTGTGCCACACAAGAGCTTAAAGCAGCTTGCTTTTGAAGTTAAGTGATGAACCGAAGTCTTTAGTCTTTCTTCAGAGTAGCTCAGTGGGCCATTGCTGTTAAGCTGTGCCAAGAGCTTTCAAGGGTCAAAAGTGTGCAAGAGCTTTTTTAAGTGGAAGACCTTTGACTTAAAAAAATAATTGTAAGGCCATAAAAAAAATCTGAATTACCTACTGTACATGCCCAAAAGAACATCACTGAGATGTTCTCAAACATGATTCTAACCTACAGGGATATAAGGGGAGAAGGGAATTTTGAAGTCCTGGGCCACTTTGCCATTAAGAAATAGAATCATAGAATGGTTTGGATTGGAAGGGACCTTAAAGATGACTTAATTCCACCCCCGCTGCCATGGGCAGGGACCCCTTCCACTAGAGCAGGTTGCTCCAAGCTGCGTCCAGCCTGGCCTTGAACACAGTCACAGCTTCTCTGGGCAACTTGTGTCAGGGCCCCACCACCCTCACAGGAAGGGACATATTCCTAATTTAGGGGACAATAAATAAAAAATAAATTAAAAAA